AGCCCCATCTTTAGCATAATCGGCCAAGGGCCCTGGCTGAGCAGACCCTGACTGTCATCAGCCGTGACAAAGACAGGGTCAGGTGTGTGCAGGCCCAGAACGTTTCCAAACATGAGATGCGGTAGACCAGATAGTACACAGAATAATTATGCCTTTCTCTTAAGAAGAGCAGATTCAGTATGCCAAAGTAAACATGTGGATAATGTAACTGGAATAATCTGTCGTGGGAGTAAATGGAGTAATACATCAGCACTACACAGACACCTTCTTTTGTTCTTCAGGTATAACTGTAACATCTCCACCGTATGAAGGAAGAGAAAATCACGCATTGCGGCGTGCCCAGGGAATCTGGGTATTCGTACTCCTTGGTGACAAGCCTGTGGGTTGGGAGAGAAAGCAATAACTGGAGATTTTAGAAGGAAACGTATATGGGCGTGAGGAACCAATGGAGAAGTCATCATTTTAACTTGTAAATAGGGCAGCCAAGTGAAGCAGTCCTGCAGAATGCGGTCAGACATTGTGAATGGAGATGTAATAAAAATATGGTTTGAGCATTTATGAACACATGGTAGCTGAAGCTACCTGAGTCCAGGAATCCTTAAGGACAGGACATAGAAGAGGATAAGCATAAGCATAAGGTCAGGAAGCAAGTCTTGGGAGACACCTTCAGGAATGAGTGGAAGACAGGGAAAGTTCCAGGAAAGATGACAGAATGGAACGGAGTGACGGATATGAGGCAGATTAGAGCACAAAAATACAATAATGCGGCTTCCACAAATCAATGGGGAAATAGGGACAGATAAAAATGGATTAATTATTTAGAGAAAAATGTTTGCGTTCTTACCTAACCCCACCTCCAAGGGTGAACTCTAGATCTGTGCTATCTGGTATGGTAGCCACAGGCCATACGCGGCTACTAGCCACTTGATATGTGGCTAGTCCAAATTGAGATGTGCTGTAAGTGTAAAATGTTTTCCGGAGTTTGAAGACTGAAGAGGAGAAAAAAGAATTTAAAACATCTCAATAATTTTTATACTGATTATATGTTGAGATAGTTTAGCTATATTGGATTTTGAAAATATTAAATTTAATTTCAACTGTTTCCTTTTATTTCTTAAATGTGTTTACCAGAAAATTTTGTATATGTTGTTCACATTATATTTCTGTTTGGACAGCACTGCTCTAAACGGACTACAGACCTAAATGTGAAAGGTAAAAACATTAATGTTAATAGAAGAAAATGTAGGAGAATATATTTGTGACTCAGGGGGATGGAAAAGGACATTTTATACAAAACTTCAAAAGCACAAACTTTAAGACAAAAATTGATTAAGTTGATCACATAAAAAAATTAAGGATTTCGGGCTTCCCTGGTGGCACAGTGGTTGAGAGTCCGCCTGCCGATGTAGGGGACACGGGTTCGTGCCCTGGTCTGGGAAGATCCCACATGCCACGGAGCAGCTGGGCTTGTGAGCCATGGCCGCTGAGCCTGCACGTCCGGAGGCTGTGCCCCGCAACGGGAGAGGCCACAACAGTGAGAGGCCCACGTACCGCAAAAAAAAAAA